CAAGATGATAAAGTACATTTCATAATACACACATACATTATAAAGCAAAGTAAGTGTTCAAAACTTTTCCAAATGAAAGTTTTCTAGATATGACATAGTAATTAAACAAAACATATCACAGTCACAAACCTCTTTTACTTGGTACTGGTTTATTAGAGCTGGTGTCAGTTCTAATAGATTGGCCATGTGTTCTGATAGATTATTGTGCCATACCGATTTTAAATATTTTGATTACCACCCCACCCTTAAAATTCATCTAGTCATCTGATAAAGCCATTTCATATGATAGGTAAAACAGAGTCAAAAGCTTTGGAATGTCTTACCCAAAGTCAAAAATTAAATACAAGATCAGGCTAATGCTCCAAATTTTGCAAAGACCTATTTCACTATTTGCTTATTAAATCAATCTTCTTCTCAAATAGAGTTCCAAGAACTTCAGTTCATCTCACTCTAATAGTCATGATAAAACTTCTGATATATCACAGTCCACATTAAAGAAATTCAAACTTTGGATTCATAGATCTTAGATGAGGGCTAAATTCCCATTTGGTAGGCCTGTTCTACATTATTGAATCTAAATGTTATCCCATTTATAGAAAGGATTTGGGTTTTTTTTTTTTTTTTTTTTTTGTTTTTTCTTTTTATATTAGGATTGAGGGGAAGATTTACAAGGAAAATTGGTTTTACATTCAACAGTTCATACAGATTTTATTGCACAACTGGGTTTATTGTGAGAAACAAGATAATGGGTATAAAGTGTTAGGCAGTGTTGTTAGTTACCATGGAGTCAACCCTTGACTCATGGTGACCCCATGAACAAAATTAAAATACTACTCAGTCCTACTCCATCTCCATGATAGGTTGCAGATCAAACCACTGAGATCTGTAGTGCATTCATTGGCTGATTCTTGGAAGTAAATTCAAGTCTTCCTAGTCCATGGTAGCCTGGAAGCTCCTCAACACAAAAGCCTCCACAGAAAGACAGGTGGTGGTGCACTGGGCAGAATCAAGCTTGAATCTCCTGCATGTAAGGCAAGCATTCTGCCACTAACTACCATTGCTCCCATTCTGACTTGCAAAAGACAGTAAGGAAAAGTCAATTCCCTGTCTGTCAATTAAACAAATAACACTGTCACTTTTCCAACAGACAGGTGGATTTGTGTGAAAACACAAGTAAAAACAACAAAATTTATTTCCATTACATCCTTAAATTTATGCTACTTGTATATTTTTTAGGTAGAAATAAACTACCTAAAAGTGGAATTATGAAAAGCTAACAAATGAACTGTTTGTAAAAGCATGTTGTTGTTGTAAAGCATACACATATATTAATAAACACATATAGGAAAAATATTGAAGTTGCATTTGTATCTTTTAAAGAAATAATTTTTTAAATATTTTAATAACTTTCTAAGTTAACTACACTCAGTTTTTGTATTTGATATAAAGAAATTTAGTTTATATTGTGTTATATATTTAATTGTGTTAGTTAAATGGGGAAAAATAATGGTGTTGAATTTTACAAATCCATCCAAATTCACAAACCTCTTTATTTTCTCGCAATTACTAATACTTTTGTAAAATGGCAGTTTTTATAATGAGAGTTTTCATAAGGAGAGAAAGCCATAGGCTCGTAGGTGACCAATCACCTTTCTCAATAGAATTACTATTAGTAATCTAATTGATAATATGTTCCTTTTTCTTTTATATACTGGCATCAGTTACTTTTTGTATTTGTTACATTTACATTTCTTTTATCACTAACTGGTTTCAGCATGCTTCATTTTGGTCTAGTTTGGAACATACCATCACTTGCTGATATGCAAGTACAATCTGAATAAAATTAAAACAAGTCCACGAGAGCCACAATACACCCTTGATATTATCACACTTGAATTTAGAGAATAGATTTGGCACAT